CACCTTTTCCACCTTTGTTCTCCCTCTCTTCCCTAATTAATTATCCCCTTTCTTCTCACACTTCTCGCCCTTTTCCATCCTTTCTCTCAATCTCTCATCCCTCTCGGCTTTCCCCTCTATTCTTCCCTCTTCCTTCACTGTCCATCTGTCTTCTTCTCCTCTGTCTTTCCCTCTCTTTAAATATCTGCCAATCAGACGCACCTCTCATCTCAGAGCATATTCCTTTCACAGATTCCTACACAATTATACAAAATGCTGACGACATACATACAGTATGTTCAAAATACACCAACTTATACAACAGGAACTTTGACAACAATACTATGTCCCACATGCAAGAATAATACAACTATATTAGAAATAAAATTATATCTAAATATATACTGAAATAAAGGTAATTTAGGGGAAGGATACATATCAGGGGATACAGGGATATATGAAGGATTGAAGCAGGGGGGGATATAGCTGGATATATATCATGAAGGACATATGATGAAGCAATGATTCTGATGAAAATATTGACTATACTTCCCCCCCCCCCCCTGGGAATATAGAACACACTAACTCCCTAAGAACGAAGATACAAATGTATGAATGCAATTCATCACACTTTTATTGCATAATCCCAGTGTTGCGTTGCCTGCTAATTCCCCTAATTGCACAATGATAGATGATTATAGCGGATAAATACGTTATTAAACAAGCCATTCTCTACTGATATTCGATACATTGGTTTGTCATGAGTTAATGATAACGGAAGTGATTGATGATGATTAAGCCAGCCAAAAGGTGGCACGGGCATGAATAGCCCGTAAGTGGTGGCCCTTTTGACCCATTACCAGTATCAGTAGATGATATTAGAGATCTTTGGAAGTGCGACTGCACCCTGCGTGACGGGAGATGTCTCCCGTGAAAAACGGAAGTGGTTCTGGGATCTTAACTATACTTGGATATCTAACCAATTTATTGCCTGTTTAAAACAAATGTGTTAAATTGTGATATGGCTGCAATAAAGTGGGGATATTAGTATGAGAACGGAATATATTATCATATTGTAGACTTATTTTAATTATTCAATATTAAACTTTATATATATTTAACATGTCCATTTCTTGTGTTGCGTTTAAAGGCTGCAACACACACCCCGCCAAACACACAGCGAAACTACGACGTTGCTACAACGTTCGAACAAGATATAACACCTCCTAACCAGTTATAAGAACCAATATAACAAGTTGTAACAACGTTCTAATACGTCAAAAACACGTTAAGCCAAGATGTAACAACTTTATTACAAGTTGTAACAAGCGGAAAATAGGGTCAGTTACGGTTTGTGTTTCCAGGGACACGCTTGTGGCATACAACATATACAAGTTTCACGGCCAAAAACAAAAAGATAGATTGGAAAGGGAAGTTTTGTCGCAATTATTTTTCATTTAAAAATGATAATTTATCTTTGCTGCCTGAAAAGCCGCAGGGTTTTTTTTTATCTGACCTTAGTCATGTAACTGACCTTTTTTATGGGTTACTGTTGTGGAAATTACATAATTTTGTATATTTAAATTGACGTAATTGGTCATTTTCTTATGAATGGACAGCTTTTGTTTGCCTGTCGTTTGAACAGTGTACAAATGAACTGTTCAATATCTTTATGTCCTTCTTTTTTTCCCCTTAAATATTGTGAGGGGAAGGTCTAGAGTTCACCCCATTGGTCTGTCCGTTGGTTATTTTTGTGTGTGATTGTATGTCCAACTCATCTGGTTTTGCATCTATTTGTTCATTGTTAGATAACCCCGTTATCTTTAAATATGTTAATGAGTCTATTAGTGATGAATGCGTGAGTGCTCTGTCTTAATATAGTATATATATATATATATATATATATATATATATATATATATATATATATATATATATATATATATATATATATATATATATATATATATATATATATATATATATATATATATATATATATATATATATATATATATATATATATATATATATATATATATATATATATATATTATGTCATCTGAACACACCTTTTGAAAGTCAATCTCAGAAAACCTGATTATTAAACAAATGCTAAACTCTATGGACTTTGGGTTGCATATTTCAAATACACAGCCTTCATGAAAAGGATATATATAGGACGACTCCCATCCAAGGCATGTTTTTAGTCCAACTTTGATCCCCCAGTAAAACTCAATAAAACAAACTACTCGGTCAAATTTTAGTGAGGCTAGCCAGAGGCATCTGGTCTTTACTTAGAAAGACAAACAGGAAAACTGACTCTCGCCTATTGATTTAGTCGGGGAGCCCAGCAGTGCCTTGGACTCTGCTCTCTCTCTCTCTCTCTCTCTCTCTCTCTCTCTCTCTCTCTCTCTCTCTCTCTCTCTCTCTCTCTCTCTCTCTCTCTCTCTCTCTCTCTCTCTCTCTCTCTCTCTCTCCCTCTCTCTCTCTCCCTCTCTCCCACTCTCCTTCTCTCCCACGGAACAAAACATTTCTCGAGTAACGTTGAATTAACGTCGCTCAGAGCCGGAATGTTTATTGCTAACACTCTATGGACAATCAATCCCACATTTCAGGCTTCACAAGCGGCTTTGCTTGTCACAGCAGGATCCAATATTACTTAAAGAGAGGCTTGGGGGTCGAACCCTTACCACTCTATGACACTCAACAAGCAATCACAGTTCACCTTGTCTGCCTGTTCGAGGTTGGGGGGGGGGGGTAGAGGGGGGGGAGGGGGGGCAGAAGGGGCAATTAAAATGGGGGGTAAGGGAGGGGGGGGGGGGAGACAGAGTATCCCGGGCACCACCGAGTAAACAGAGAATTCATATTTACTACAAGATAAATCTAACTGGGATCTGTGCCCTACATATGATTTACGTAGCTCGTATTCTCCTAATTGGAGACAGGAAGCCTGCGCTTATAGGCCTATCATCCCCATCCCTTTTACCCAATTAACGATCTTTCGAAGAATGCAACACACCTTAATACAGAGCTCCCAGGAACCTATTTACTGCTAGCTGAACAGATGCATCAGTGAATGGAAACGTACCCAACCGTTTCTGTCCTTCCCGGGGACTGAATCCAGGTCCCTCGGTTGTAAGCCGAGGACGTAGACCACTGTGTTAATGACTCATCTCTTGCCAGAGTTGTGTTATAATTGAAAATTTTGGTGGCATTGTGGAAATTTTGATAAGTTGTGTCCGGGGAGGATTGACTGGACACCAATCCTTAAATGTTGGCCTCCGTTCAGTCATCAGTAACTAGTTACTTGGTTGTAAATCGACTAGAAAGTCGTGTTCCAGGGAAATCGAGTAGGATAAGGCTCACCATGAGCTACGGGAAGGGAAAGCTCTCAGCCTCCTAATAGGAGTCGGACACTGTCTGTCCGTCACCATCTTGTGAAGAAAAAAAATAATATTGTTGATCTTTAATAATAGTGACGTGGCTGAAGATATGATGACCAAATAAACATTATACGATGGAGAAACGGCGACATGTCGCTCCGTCGTGGCCCAAACGGCTTGATTATGGTTCTAGACGGACCGAAACGTGGTCATTTCTACACTTTCTGATATGTGGTTGGGTCATTAGTGACCCAGAATTTAAGTCGGCATTATATTTAATGTTTTTTCTTAGTATCTTTAAATTTATTCTCCAAGTCCTCGGTGAGAATTTATTTTAGTGCAATGTGATCTCTTAGGAATGATGGAACTCTGTTAGCCATCAGTAGTCTATATCAGAGGACAGGGGGGGGATGGGAATGCTCTTGGACTCATTTAAGTAGGGGTGGACCCCCCCTATGTCCGTATTTCGTATCATAACCCATTATATTCCCTCTTAGCCATACCTTAGCCCAAGGAGAGGTTAATACTGTACCATTAGCAATGGGTAATTATTCTTAGTGGTTTATAATAGTTCTCTCTATTTCCCTCGTTCATGTTACAACCATTAACTTAAATCACAACCTTTTTATACTTTCCCTAATCCCTGATAAAATACGCTCGGCCCTCAAAACTACTGGTGGTAGTGGTTACGGAGTGGTTGTAGTGGTGGTGGTGGTGGTGGTAGAAGTGCTTTTGGTAGCGGTAATGATGTTGGTAGTGGTGGTAGGAGAGGTAGGTGGTGGTGGTAGTGGTGATTCTAGCGATAATGGCGGCAGCTAGTAATGGTCCCGATTATGGGGCGGGGGTAATTAATGTGATAATGAGGGTAAAGCATCATCCTCCTTGAAACATGAAAGATGAGGGCAGTAAACAAAATTGGGGGAAAAAAAAGCAAGGCGATTTATTCACGTTGTTTGATGATCGGGCGAGAGATTTGTTTTTTTAATTATTAGTAAAATAAATAAATATTCTTGCTTTGTTTAGGTTTTTAAATTATATTTATGTTTTGTGTACAAATGAACCTGTTCTATTATTATCCTGACCAAAGGTCTCGTAATTTTTAGGCCTGAGTTCCAATCTCAGATAATCCAAGCGATTGGAATGTAATTATCCACCCTGTTGTGGGGAGAAAGCGAGAGCGAGAGAGAGAGAGAGAGAGAGAGAGAGAGAGAGAGAGAGAGAGAGAGAGAGAGAGAGAGAGAGAGAGAGAGAGAGAGAGAGAGTGAGAGAGAGACAGATAGACAGACAGAGACAGAGACAGAGAGAGAGAAGAGAAATTTAATAAACCATTGCTAATTTCATGAAGAAGATATATTACATAAAATTTATATATATTACAAAAAATAAGAGTATTTTAAGGATAAGCAGTGTCTAAGACTGAAAAAATGAAGACTTACCATAGAAGTTAAATATTGAGTATCGTGGGATTTTTTTTTTTTGCCGGCGAATCCTGCTCGTTGCAGATAATTGCAAAACAGAAACTGTTGGTGATTTGGGATCACTATGTCAACCTTGAACGGCTAAGCTGAAGGATCTGTAGTTGTTGGTTACCCCTCACAGCTTCGCCCTCAACATGGAGTTATGGGGTAGTTCTGATCAAGTCATCCTCGAGGGTTGAGGGTGAAGAGTGGGATTACAAGTTGCAGCAGTGGGATTACACGTTGCAGCAGAGGGATTACAAGTTGCAGCAGTGGGATTACACGTTACAGCAGAGGGATTACAAGTTGCAGCAGTGGGATTACAAGTTGCAGCAGTGGGATTACAAGTTGCAGCAGAGGGATTACAAGTTACAGCAGTGAGATTACAAGTTGCAGCAGTGGGATTACAAGTTACAGCAGTGGGATTACAAGCTGCAGCAGTGGGATTACAAGTTACAGCAGTGGGATTACAAGTTGCAGCAGTGGGATTACACGTTGCAGCAGAGGGATTACAAGTTACAGCAGTGGGATTACAAGTTACAGCAATAGGATTACAAGCTGCAGCAGTGGTATTACAAGTTACAGCAGTAGGATTACAAGTTACAGCAGTGAGATTACAAGCTGCAGCAGTGGGATTACACGTTGCAGCAGAGGGATTACAAGTTACAGCAGTGGGATTACAAGTTACAGCAGTAGGATTACAAGTTACAGCAGTGGGATTACAAGTTACAGCAGTGGGATTACAAGTTACAGCAGTAGGATTACAAGTTACAGCAGTAGGATTACAAATTGCAGCAGTGGGATTACAAGTTGCAGCAGTGGGATTACAAGTTACAGCAATAGGATTACAAGCTGCAGCAGTGGGATTACAAGTTACAGCAGTAGGATTACAAGTTGCAGCAAGGGGATTACAAGCTGCAGCAGTGGGATTACAAGTTACAGCAGTAGGATTACAAGATGCAGCAGTGGGATTACAAGTTTCAGTGTTGCCAGCGAGGAGAATCTGGGCCAGGGTAACGACTTTGAGGGTGTGTAGTGACTCTGACACAACTGCTTCTTCATGGCCTGAGTCAGTCAATGACTTGAAGGAACCGAAGTGCAGAGGAAGGCTGCCTCGAGTGCACGAATACAGTGATAATTCCTACTGTGAGTAGTGACCAAATGCATAGTGCAGTGTGGTTAGTTGCAGCCCAGTTACCTACGTGAGTGTCCTGCATTCGGTGAGTTACCAGAGACATTCTAAGGCAAGAATACCAGACATGCAAGCAACACTACTAACCCCTAGTGTGAGGAATAGAGTGACAGCCAAGAGTGAGCAAAGAGGTTGCAATCATCCCTAGATCTAGGTGTTGTGACGATAATCTCCTTCAAGAGATTGAGCCTGCTCTTCCCTCCATAATTACGTCGTCGAAATTATATAAAACGACTATGGAAGACATGTCCAACAATGACAACAACACCAGCAAGGCTTGCCAGGGTGAGCAAAACGTATGCAGCCAGCCACCTGTTCGGACTCCAACCACCAAACTACATGTTGATCGCTACCGGCTCCGCTGATTGGTCGCCGGTCTGGCTGCACCTGCACTCGCCCCCCCATACTACTTGATGTCTGGGGTCGCCCCACCTTCAGACCTCAGAATGTTCAGTGCTCTCGTTGTCACCACTCCTCCCAGCTAGACGCTAGCGTGTACTGAGAGAAGTGGTAGCTTTAAGCCAATATTCCAAACACCTCCCATTTACTTTGTATTGCACTTCTTGTTATTTTGCCTTAACGTAACTTTTCATTGTGTCATTTAATTATTCTTATTATTTTGATTGATTGATTTTATTATAAGCATTTGTTTGTGCATTTTATTCATGTTTTGATTTATTTAACGTAATTAAAATTTCATTGTTAAAGTTTACTTGTGTTTTGTGTGTCTTCTCCTTACCTTACCACAGACGAAGTTCCAGTTTTTTCTATTTTTTTTATAACTATGTGACGAGGCCATACCCCTAGCCTTAAACAGCCGAACACCAACGCGTTACCGTCACAAGTTATATGGGGGCCTGTCCTAGGAGCTTCACTCAGGTACTGGTGCCAAGTGGTAATTTATGGTAAGCGTATTTAACTTTGTTAACGTAGCTTTACTATTTTTCATATTCAATTTCATTTTTTATAAGGTGCGGTGTATTGTGCATTACGAGAGTAACATATAGTGAAGGTGAGACAACTTTGGATTACGTGGTGACTGTAGGCCGCAGTCATACTCTTAATTGGTCATCTCTCCCTCCGTGTTATTACTCGTGTTTACCATCTATGTCCCTTGAATATTTCTCATTCTGACAGATCATCATATTGGTACCCTGGTACTGTGGTCTGCCCCGGGTCAAGAGTACCCAATCTTCTGCAATCTGACTGTAGGAGGACAAAGAGGGCCATAGTTCCTCTAGCTCGAACTTTAGTTGCTGAATTGGGACCTCAGCAGCAGTTCTCGTCACCAGTTGACACCTCGCACCCCTACACGTCAGTCAGAGATGATGATACATACAACGGTAGGGAATTAGCTTATTTTTTCAGAGCACAAAAGTTCGCTAATTCTGTAAGTATCATATTAAATTCAGTGGGAAAAACTTGCTTTATGTCCTATAGAGACTTGGCAAGGTATGCCTACATCCTTGGACTACCAATTTTACTTTTGAAGCATTTGACTGTTTCATTTGTTTTCGAAACTTTGTTTCATTTGTTAGTAGGATTTTCTTGCCCTTATTCTCTTACATGAGTACCGGGTACAAGATTTCCTGCGCCCTTGATTTAATTTAATCATTTAATATCTTTCACTTAACGTTAATTGTTAAAGATCACACAGGATAGGTACCAGTTGCCACGTTGTCCTGTTTCTGACATTTCACTATTGAATATTCGTGTACCTTTATTTGCTAATTTCACCATGTTTCGTCTCCAAACTTTCCGTGCAAATCCAGCAGGTGAAATAGGGACTTTAAGTCGTGCCAAGAGGACTGAATTACAAACTCTTGCACATGAGTATCAACTAGAAGTTCCCTACCAAGCCAACAAAAATGACCTACACAACCTGTTGCTGGATTACTATTTAGAGCAAGGTAAGATAGACTCTGAAACTCATGAAACTTACTATATTGCAGATAAAACTGACTTGGCAACGATGAAACTTAAACTAGAGCTGGCTAAGATTGAACGTGAGCAGCAAAGGGAAGCCCGCGAACAACAAGAACGAGCGGCTGCCATACGGAGAGAAGAACAAGAACGCGAAGCTGCTTTGAGGAGAGAAGAACAAGAACGCGAAGCTGCTTTGAGGAGGGAAGAACAAGAACGAGAAATCACCCTCAGAGAACGCGAAGCTGCTTTGAGGAGAGAAGAACACGAACGTGGACTCGCCCTCCACGAACGTGAGGTCGCCTTGCTCCATGAACGTGAGAGAGTACAGCTTGAAACAAAACAACGCGAGTTGGAAATACAACGCGAACATGACAAGCAACAAGCAACTCTGGCTCTAGAGTGTCGTCAACGTGAAATCGCCTTGGAAACTTCCCACTTCACTCAACGCCAACAAGCTACTGCCAATCTTCCCGTCAGTTTTAATATATCACATGCAAGTAAGTTAATGCCATCCTTTGTAGAAGCAGAAGTTGATGTGTTTTTCACCACCTTTGAAACCCTTGCTAATCAACTCAGTTGGCCTGTCGACCAATGGGCCACACTTCTCAGAGTCCATCTTACAGGTAGAGCTGCAGTCACACTCAGTACTTTGGCGTCTGAGAATGACTACTACACTCTGAAACAAGCAGTGTTGGACGCCTACCTACTTTCCACAGAAAGTTATAGAAGGAAATTCCGTGACCACCTGAAGGCAAGTACCACTACCTTCCTTGAGTTTGCTAACACGAAACGGAGGTATTTCATGAAATGGCTGGAAGCAGCACATGTCTCTACTTTTACAGAACTCGTCAACCTGATGCTTGTTGAAGAATTCTTGAGACGTGTGCCGCCTCCTGTCCGCCTCTACTTAGCAGATAAAGAAGAAACCGACTACCTGAAGTGTGCTAAGTCGGCTGACACTTACAGCCTCATCCACCGGCTGACACCTGAACCATCCTCCAGTAAGAAGTCGTGGTACAGTTACGAGAAGGTGAGCCCCGATCAAGCTGGTTCACAACTGTACTGCAAGTATTGTAGACTCTATGGACATACCATAGACAAGTGTGGTAAGTCTCAATACAAGGGAACCACTGACCAACAACGACCCAAACCAACTCCTCCTAAGTCCGGTAAGCCTGTGATGAATGTTGGTGTTAATGTTAATGATCTTTCTCTTTTCAGTAACCACCTGTATACTGGAACTGTCTCTGCCAACGGTTCAAATCCGGAGGGACGTTTCAAATTGAAGATCTTGAGGGACACAGCGGCTCTACAATCGATCATCTTGAAGTCGGCTGTGCCCAACATAGTCTACACCGGGGAAACAGTCTTCATCACTGACCTCACTGCTACCACTCCATACCCTCTCGCCAGAGTCCACCTGGATTGTCCCTACGTGAACGGAGAAGTCCAAGTCGCCGTCAGGGAAAAGCCTTTTCCCATGCCTGGAGTGCAACTTCTCCTAGGCAACGACTTGGCAGAAGACCTACAACCGACCAACCTGATCGTCATGGACAAACCCCAGGTGTGTAACTCTGTGCCAATAAACCCTATTCTTGAGTATGTTCCAGCAGAGGTTCAAGAGAGTGATGAAGTTTCTCCTCCGGTTCTCGTGACCACCCGTGCACAAGCCGCACGTCCACAGCCAGCTGACTCTACTGCTACCGCTGTCCCTCAAGACCCTCAGAAACTACCCCCGCATCTGACCAAGTTGGAGTTCCGTAAGTTGCAGAGGGAAGATCTTACTTTAACACCATTGTTTTTCCAGGCTGAGACTCAACCCGACAGTATTCCTGGGTTCTTCCTAGAGAACGACTTGCTCTACCGCAGATATAGACCCAGTAAACTGAAGGAGGAGGACGATTGGGCCAACATCGAACAACTTGTGATTCCCACCAGCCTGCGGCCCACTATTCTACACCTGGCCCACGGAGCATCCTCCCACTACGGCTTCAACAAGACTTACCATGGGATTCGTCAAGACTACTACTGGCCAGGTATGGTAAATAACGTCAAACAGTACGTAAAACAGTGTCATACATGTCAGATGGCAGGCAAACCGAACGTCTCCATTCCCAGAGCACCACTGATTCCCATACAGGTGCCTGCGGAACCTTTCCACAGACTCATAATAGACTGTGTTGGTCCTTTACCTCGGACCAGTTCAGGTAACGCCTACATCCTAACCATCCTGTGTCCTACCACCAGATTTCCCATAGCAGTTCCAGTGAAGAACATCACGGCTGCTACGGTTATCAAACATCTATTGAAGATCTTCACTCAATACGGATTTCCCAGGGAGATTCAAAGTGACTGTGGCACCAACTTCACCAGTGATCTCTTCAAAAGGACACTGGAGGAGTTCAACATCAAACAGGTATTGTCCAGCCCCTATCATCCTGCTTCACAGGGTTCTCTTGAACGTAGTCATCAGACCATCAAAGCACTCTTGAAAAAGTTTTGTAGTGAAACCTCAAAGGATTGGGATAAGCAGATTGACCTAATAATGTGTATTTTCAGAAGTCTCCCCAATGAGTCCCTAGGAGTATCTCCTTATGAGATGCTCTACGGCCGTAAGTGCCGTACTCCCCTTAAGGCTTTCAAAGACTCTCTCAGAGATGCCACCTTCAGTGAGCATCAGAATGTGCCCCAGTTTCTTCAAAACCTTCAACACATTCTAGAGAGAGTCCACCGCTTTGCCCATGATAATCTATTGAAAGCCCAGGTGAGAATGAAGACTTATTACGACCAGACCAGCAAAGTAAGAAAATTCAAGCTGGGAGACTTCGTCCTTGCCTATTTTCCTATCCCAGGTTCACCTTTACAAAACAAATTTTCAGGACCCTACTGCGTCAAAGAGTGCAGAAGCAACAACACTTACGTCATAGAGACTCCAGATAGGCGGCGGAAGACCCAGCTGTGCCACGTCAACCTCCTGAAGCAATATAATGGTACTCCTCCCACTGTCTTGACTAACTATTCCACATTCACAGAACCCTACATCCACAGTGAGACCATCCCAGCTTCTTCTCCCGAAAGCACTGACAAGGAGTCGGCGCTTTCTAATTCCGAAATCCTTAATGATCTTCCCAAATGCTTTCAGGATAATAATCGTGCTCCTATGCCCTCTTCTAATTCCACTCTCACCTCGTCAGATAAGCCCTTCATCCTCCATGT